AACTAAAATGGTGATAATGGATATTTCTGGAAAGAGTTTTCATGTCCTTCTCTGATTTCTTCCTTCACTCACTTGTTATAATGACTCCAAAGTTTCTTAAAATTAACTGGACAGTGTTAAAGGTAGGAACCAGAAAATCGACTTTCTAAATGAGAAACTGGGAGAAGAAATCAACAACCTTTAAATCTTTCTTGGCACAGTACAGTTGTTGTCCCTGTAAACTTTATACTTTTAAAAATATTTATTTGATCATCACAGTGCTTGACAGAGTAAGTGCTAGAAAATGTTTGACCTTGAACCTTTTTACCATGTGATCTGATTGGATTCTACTACTACTAACCTCGGGAACCTTAGAGCATATCACTTCCTGCTATCAGGTGCCTGGAGATTCAAAATCAAGTTGCCTGTGTGTCACTTTGCACAAAGCTGTGGGCACATTCCACACAGGTGGGTGGGTTTCATAATAATATTCAAAAAGCAATACTGATGTTCATATTTTATAAATCATAAGGGTGGTTTAATGCACATGTCTATGATACTTCCTTAAGGAACCCAAGCCTAACTCAACCTTACAGGTAGATCTCTAAATGTAACCTTCTGACTTCTGTAGAGCATCTACATTGTCCCTCCAACATCAAGGGACTTTTAATACAGTTTCTGTGATGAGAAGGCTACAAGAATCATGTGTGATACAAGATGTGACAAACGCTATAATGTGACTTAAAAACCAAACCCTTATTGTGGCACAGAGACAGGAGAGTCTGCTTTGACTTTCAGAACTTCATAATTCTTGAGCTGAATCTTGAGGAAGAGCAGGACAGGTTTGTTTGTTTTTATGACTTTTTGTTTTCTGATTTTATATACACTGTGTAACTAGAAAGTACAGAAAGCCTAAGGAAAATAAACTGTAGGAGAGCTATTGCAAGGGATGACCACTGTGGGCAGAGGGTGGGTGTATCTTTCAGAGAGATGGACAGGTCAGGTGTGGAGAACCATGAGCAGGTTGCAGGGGTCAGCCTGAGAGATTCTGAGTTGACCACAACTCCAATCTTTTCTAAATTTCTCTTGACACAGGGTCTCACTAAGTTGCTTGGGGGCCTCAATAAATTGCTAAGGCTGACTTGGAACTTGTGATCCTCCTACCTCAGCCTCCCAAGCCTCTGGGATGATAAGGATATGTCACTGTGCCCAGCTCATGCTTTCTTTTTGCTTGGAAAACCTAACTCCACATGTGTGTGAAACATAGCCACAATTACCTCAAAATGCAGGCCTTCAGGAAATCTCTTGTAGGAAGACCTCAGTTTTCACCTTGAGGACACAAGGGAGGTGAGGCAGGATGGCACCAGGGCAGGCAGGAGGAGCTCAGTCATGAGCAAGGGCTTCCAGAAAGGTGTGGAACCTCCCCTCATAGGATGACCCATCATGGAGAGGAAATCAGCAGCCCACTACCAAGAGACCACTGCTGCCCACTTGGTGACCTGTGTTGGTCAAATCAACTCTATATGACACTCAATCCCTGGTGCTCAAGGCTATTACCAACTCCTCATGGTAGCCAAGTAAAGCACAGCATCTGGGCCGAGAAGTGGAGGCAGAGACCACAGGCTTTGTGAGTCTGGGCACTGGAGTACTAAGGCTGCTCCCCCATTGTGCCCATGGAAATCATCCCAAGGCTGGCCACACTGGTGGAAGCTGGAACATCCATCAGTGGCTGGAGTTGAAATGACAGCAACTGAACTACACGGGGACTCCATCTCACTCCAGTCAGAATGGCAGTTACGATGAATACAAGTAACAATAAATGTTGGCAAAGATGTGGGGAAAATGTACTCTCACAGATTGCTGGTGGGACTGAAAATTGGTGCAACCACTCTGAAAATCAGTTTGGAGATTTGTCAGAACTTGGAATGGAACCATCATTTGACCCAGTTATCCCACTCCTTGATATATACCCAAAGGTCTTAAAATTAGAATACTATAGTGATACAGTCCCATCAATGTTTACAGCAGCTCAATTCACAATAGCTAAAGTATGGAACCAGACTAGGTGTCCTTCAACAGAGGAACTGATAAAGAAAATGTGGTATACATACACAATGGAATATTATTCAGCCGTAAAGAAGATGAAATTATGGCATTTGCTGGTAAATGGATAGAACTGGAGACTATCATACTAAGTGAGATAAGCCAGTCCCAAAAACAAAGGCCAAATGTTCTAATATGTGGATGCTAACACACAATAAGGGAGGTTGGAGGGAAGAAAAGTAGTTCATTGGATTGGAAAAAGGGGAATGAAGGGAAGGGAAGTAGGTGAAAATAGGAAAGACAGTAGAATGCATCGGACATCACCTTCCTATGTTCATACGTGAATACATACGTGAATACATACGTGAATACATTACCAGTGAAATTCCACACCATGTTCAACCACAAAAATGGGATTCTAGTTAGGATAAATTATACCCCATATGTGCATAATATGTCCAAATGCATTCTGCTGTCATGTCGATATAAAAATGATTTTTAACAAAAGAAATGACACCAACTGGGATCCCCAAGAATCAAGTAGCAAGAGGAGCCAAGTAAATCTGGAAAGTAAATCAACTGAGTTTGATAAAAGCAGATGTGTTGTTTGTGTAACTTTCAATGTCAAAAGTTATGTACTTCAAGAAATGTTATGATCAAAGAAGTCAAGCTGCAAGAAATCATAGGGCAGTGTGTGGAAAAGAGGAAGGAATTAATTTATATAAATAGACCCTATTCAAAAGCAATAAAACATGAATTATCTGCACCCTTTCACAAACTTATTCAAAAGCAAATAAGGTCACAGAAGGTAGAAGGTGTGGGTGATGCAATCCATTCCAGTTAGCAACTAAGTTCCATTCTTGGTTAGTTTTATATTTCAAAAAACCTGCACACATAATCCATTTCAGTTAGTTCTTCCTGCAACTCCTCAAATGAAGGGTAGTCAAATATCACACCCATCAAAAACCATTACAAAGAATAATCATTGCATACTTCTTGTGTATTTGGCATGAGGCTGTTGTTAAGAATCCGTCCTAGGATCACTACCTATGTAAATTGCCCAGTGGAAGAGATTAGTCACAGAATTTAGCACACCAAAATGTCTGTCCTCCTGAGGTGACCGGTATGAGGAGAGCTTTGGCCTCAAAATTCCTGCTGTACCATTTTAGTCTTGGAAATCTGAATCTGTATCCTGTCCTTTGCTTTCTGATCCAGGGCAAGTATCACGAGAATGAGAAAACATTATATGCTATACCTTGTGTTAAGCTGCACATGGTAGATGTTAGGGTTGACAAGAAGAGTTTCCTAAAAGCTTCTGTGTGAGATAATGCAAGAAACTTTAGAGGTGAAATGATTAGAATATGAGAGCCTACACCTAATCTGTGTAATAATCCAGTGGATTAACTGTATTGTAACTGTAGGCAGGTATCTGTAGGCATTGGAAAGTGGATAGGGGGGCCTTTGGGGTATATATTTTTATCCCTGGTGAGCTGAACTCTCTCTGCTTATTGGTACCATTCTTGAGCTGCTTTCCTCCTCTACACCCTTCTGCCCTGAATAATCTGCCTTAACTCAGGCCAAGAGTTACAGTCATCCATCTGTGACTATGACCTCTGAAACTTGTGAGCCAAAACTTTCTTCCTCTAAAGTGGTTCTTGTAAAGTCTTTTCATCACAGCAGTGAAAAATCTAACTAAAAAAGTAAGCTTTCAATAACGGATAGTCCCCTATAAGTCCCCTTTGCATTCTGAGGAGAATAATGTGACTAATCACAATTGGCACAGCTGAAGGCCAGAATGCTCGAAGCCTAGATTTACCTTCACTTATAGCAGATATTAGCATCGTTGGCATTATCGTTATTCTCAGTTTGTCTTAACATTTTTTCCTTTTAATTCATATTGCATTACTCTTATTTAGCAGGCTTTTTTGTCAGTAAGCCATCAGAAATTCTGTGTTGAAAAGAGAGCATGAATCATTCTTTAATATATGAGCTGGTCTTCAGTAAAATCTGGCACACTTAAAATATTTTTCAAGATATTAAAATGGCAATTATGAAGCTTTTTAGAAATATGGGAAATGTCTGAAATGTAATGTTTATAAGACAATAAAATGAGGCATATATACTAATTGCAACCACATAAATATGTGTATTTCAAGAGGATATAAAGCAACTTATGTTTGCAGCCAAGGCAAAGTAACAGGGTCAAGATTTACCCTGCCACATGAAATAAACAAAAAATGCATAAAATAAATGTAACAATACTTTTCAAGATAAAGGCTGTAAGATAACAAAGTATAACAATGCCTAAGAGGTAAAAGTAAATGAGACCTCTCAGTTGTCCCAACTGAATTACAATTATTCCCAGGCTACAGAAGAGAGGGGAATCAGATAGAGTAAGTGGTCTTCCTAAATCAAGAACAGAGATTAGAGTCAGGGAAGACCAAGATGGACAGAATTCACAAAAGAGTGCCAACGAAGAAACTCATAGATAGAACTTTAGAGACCTTCAAAGGGTTCCCTTGGGCATTCAGTTGATTACCTGATCTCCGTATCCATGTGAGGAAAACTACACAGGGTTTGGATGGCAAGTGTCCCACAAAGGTCTGAGTGTAAAGGTCTGGTCCCCAGGGTGGCCAACTAGGAGGTGCTGCAGGCCTTTAAGAGGCAGGGCCTACTGACAGGTCCTGGGATTATTGGAGGGGGGTAGGAAAGAGGACTATGGGATCCAAGCCTTTTTTTCCCCTCTCTCTCCCCAACAAACTCTCTGGCAATTCAAGATATGACTGTTCCTGCATTAGCTTCCACCATGATGTGCCACCACCTGTTTCCTCAGGAGAGGCCAAACAAATGGTGCCACCTGATCTTGATTTGAACCTCTCAAATTGTGAGATAAACAAACAGCTCTTAACTTCAGATAGAAATTAAGTATGACTTGCATCAGGTATTTCATTATTATTGATGGAAAGCTGACTAATACGATGGGCTGGGTTGGGGGAAGAACTGTGTACAAGGCCCAGAAGGACTATGAGCAGGGCTTACACCGGGCAAAAATGGTGCCTGTTCTCACCAGACAGACTGTAAAACCTCATAAATCATGACCCATCAGAACACTCAGAAGCCTCCAGCCTCATTTGTAAGGAATCAATAACTATAGATTGTTCACTTTTCTAAATCTAACAAATCTGACAAATAAAGACCTAAAAGGATTAACTGTCTCCACACAACTTAGCTGCTTTCCAAAACAAACTTAAAGAATATTTATAAAAATACAAAATATTCAGCACCCTACAAAGATAAAATTTACTATGGCTGTCACCTAATAAAAATGACCAGGTATGAAAAGAAACAGGAAAATATGATCACCAAAAAGAAAACAATCAAAATTACCCAGATCTAATGTACATGTTAAGACTAGCAAAAATGCCATTAAAATAGTTATTATAATTGTATTCAACATGTTAAAAACATATGACATGAAAGATCAAAAAATTTTTAATGCTGAAGAATAATCAAATTTCCCCAAATTTTATGTATAATGAAGAATCCCTAAGCATAATAAAACAAAAACAAACATGAAGAAAATGAGACAAAGGCACATCATCAGTTTGCTCAATAGTGATGATGAAGAGAATATTCTGCAAGCAACCAGAAGAAGAAACACATATGTCACATACAGGAGAACAAAGATAAGGATGAGAGCAGATTTTTTGTTGAAAGTAATATGAACAAGATTATAGTGCAGGAACATCTTTTAAAATTTGTAAGAAAAGCTATCAATATAGGATTCAATGCACTACAAAAATGTTTCAAAAGTGAAAAACAACTAGAGACTTTTCAAAGCCCTACAAACTTAGCAAAAGGCAAACAGATTGGAAAGAAGTAAAATTTCCCACAAAGAAGACTCCAGGCTTTGATGGCTTCACTGGTAAAGTAAATCCTAGCAAATATTTAAGGAAGAAATAATACCAATTTTATATAAATCCCTTGAAAATACTGGAGAAGAAAACTATGTTTCTGAATACGTTTGGCAAAACCCTTCACCGAAGAGTAAAACTTAATGTGATAAAGAGCCAATACTCACCAAATGAACCTGTGGATTTAACAGAATCCTGATCACTATCTTGATCTGAGTGGTTATTTATTTATGTTTGTAGAAATTAGTGAGCTGATTCTACATTTAAATGGGAATGAAAAGGAAATATAGAAGCCAAATAACCTTGAAAAAGAAAAATTTGGATTACTAATACTAAGTTCAAGATATTCTAGTTAATAGGGTACATATTGTGAAGATAGACACATAGTTCAACAAACCCAACTGAGAGTTCAGAAGGAGACTGCACATATACTGACAAGTGGAAAGCAGTCTTTTTAACAAATGTTGCAGGGACAACAGGACATTCATATGCAAATGCATGAACTTCATCCATATGCTGTAACACATCACAGAACTGCAAAACCTAGGGCCTTAAAACTGTGTAGATGAAAACATGAGGGAGAAAATCCTGTGACTTTAAGAAAAGCAAAAATTCTTATATATAGCATCCAAATCACATTTAATTAACAATTAATTAAAATTTCTGTATTGTGAAAAACACTTTTAAGAGAATAAAAGTACAGCCCTAACCCTAACACTCATTCTAACCCCTAACCCTAACCCTAACCCTAACCCTAGCCCTAGCCCTAGCCCTAGCCCTAGCCCTAACACTAACACTAACCCTAACCCTAACCCATAAAATAGCAAATATTTGCAAAGCCTTCATTTGATACAGGTATTGTATCCGGAATAAAGAACTCTCACTTGATAATAAGAAAATAAATGACCTAATGAAAAATGCAGATTTAAATAAGCACTTCACCAATTTTTTTATCTATATGTGTTTATATAGATATAAAATATATATTATGTATAGCAGATAAGTATATGAAAAGGTGTAAACATCATTGATCATTAGAAAAAGTGTAAATTAAAATCATAAAAGGATACCACAGCACAACTATTAGATAGCTACAATTAAAATGATCACTCATACTAAGTGTCAGTATGTGGGAATATAAAACAACATACAGTATCCACCTTGCTGCCTTTGTTACAGTGCTTCAGCAATGACTTTCCCCTTCCCTGGATTTATTTTTTTGTGAACTTTCAAGTATAAAAATAAGGCTGGGCAAAGTATTAAATAAAAATATCCACCTTATCCTTGATAACCTTATATTTACTCAGCATCAATTAACAAGTTTGGGAAACTAAATAACTTCTGTATGAGTATATTCTCCATATTTAGAAAACGTCAATTATTCATGATATTACTTCCATGAATTAGCTATGCACTAGCAAAGCCTGATAGTAAATAGCAGTTGGTGACACCAAAGATTCTTTAAGGAACATTAGAAATAATATTTCTCCTTTCCATACATTGCAGGGTGTAGTTATTTTTAATGCATTCTGGTTTTTCCTTTTTTCTACATTTACATTAGTTGTCTTGGGTATTCTTCATTTAGATAACTTTCAAGAAATATAGAAGTCTAAGTTTCCATTACCCATTAGAAAATATTGCATTATATTGTTTTGATTTTTACTGGGCAAAATATTTTACCCCAAAGAAGATAGGTAGTACTCAAAAGAAATTGAGAATTGGGGACCAGGCTGTGTGGATTTAAATTTTGGCAATGACCCCCACTAGTTGTGTGATGTGGGGCAGTTTCTCTCTACTTCATTTCCTTATGTATAATGCATGTACCAATTTTAGATGGTTGTTGTGAGGATTAAATGAGATAGATAACCTGTGCAATGTGTAGCTCATTAGCTAGTGAAAGACAGCATGACTTCTTCATCTACCAACCTTCAAACAGGCTCCCAATTAGGGAGCCTTTCCAAGTAGGCCACTGTATGCTTATTCCATGTGCCTAGGTATTCAGTAGCTTTTTCTTTAAAATAAAAGAAGACCTTGGGAGTTCAAACCCACAAAAGGAAATCTGAAAATATTTGTGTGTGATTTAAGAAATTTATGGAAATCATGAAAGAACAGTTCTGTGATTCCCTTTCATGTCTGACTTCCAAAAAAAAATAACTGTCTATTGTATGATGTCTGGTCTGGGATGTTTATATGAGTTTCTTTTTAGTTTCATTGGTTTCATTCTGTCCTTGAAATGTAGATTCAGAAACCAGCCAGGGTTTATGTTGTGTTGCCCTTAGATACTATTAGCACTGGAACTGTGTCTTGGCCTTTAACCAGGCTTCAGAGGAGTTCAGTGCTTCACTGTAATACTGGGATACAGGATTTTTAGAATACACATTCAAGGGGAAGTTTAAAAAAATATTACTTGTTGGAAATACTGTTGATTTATGTATTTTATGATAGTGTAAGTAATGATATAGATCAATCTTGTAAAATACAATTGATTCAAATTGTTATTTTCTGAGAAAATGCTATTAAAAATTGTCCAAAGAGCTGTTTTCATAAAATCTGCCATGTCCTATGATAGATGCCACCACTTTTGTCCATGTATACCATGTATGTCATTTCTTATTCCATGTTTGAATAACCAGTTACCTTAATTACAATTAGTGCTTATTTTAGTGCCAGGGTAGCCAAGCCACATCCACACTTATTAGCATCACATCCCACCCTACTCTTATCCTCATTTAACTTGGAGGGTTAAACATTGACTCTGGAAAGCTGCGTCTTCCCTTGCAAAACTTACAGGTTGATCGAGAAGAAGGAATAGAAATACCTGAAGCTTTTCCAGTAAGCCAGAAAACAACATCCTTTGTTTATGGACAATTCCAAGGCAGCATAGAGTGGTGGAATGTTCTAACTGTGAGTTAGAATGATGAGCTGTTTGGTGTTTCATGAAGGTGGTCAGCATCACGAATTCTATAAGAGATTGGAGAGCATATGTCAATGAGAAGAAGAGGATCAGACACATGCAGGTGGCAAGGATTGTCAGGCTGATTATCAGGAACTAGAAGCACATTGAGCTGATGAAATCACACACATGTGGCAGTCAGGAAGGGGAGAAGTGAGTTATTGATGACAGGAACCAGTAATCCTGAAGAGAGATTTTCTATATTTAATTTAGGGCACATTGAGAAATGGAATCCTTTTAGTCATCAAAGGAAACTCTTGCTGAAGACGCAATGGGTTTTAAAGGAAAAAATACTGGCTTTGGAACTAAATAGGGTCATATTTTTTTCTCTGCTGATTGCTGGTATTAACTCTGACGGTTGGCAACCATTATGAATATTGTTTCTTTCATTGGTAAAATCAGTGAAAAAATATAAAGCCCACAGGTTCCCTTGAGAGGACACATTGGAGTCTGTTGAACAGGTTTGCTTTCTTGAAGACTTTCAGTCCATGAGCTGTGAGACCTCATTGTTTGGCTTATACATTCTTATGTCCTTGTTTCCTGCTCATCCTAAAAATTTGTTTCCCAGGATTTTGCTTTTTGTCCTTCTTCCTTCTACGGTGATTTTTCTCCCTGACTTTAAATACCCTCTGATGTTCATGGCTTCGTGTTCCATCTCTCCATCTGAGCACTCTCTTTGTGCACATCTTTCTCATACTTCTTCCTGTCCCTTGCATGATCTCTGTGTGATATTCTTCCACAGAGATTTCAAGCAAAGGATGTCTGAAAAGGAAACTAACTACCTTTTCCTTCACTCTCATTTGCCCACCTTCATTCCTTCTTGACATCTTTCTCAGTGAATGTCACTGATGTCTGTCTGCTCAGTCCCAAGAAACAAATGAACCAGCAGGTAATTGGACCCCTCCTCAAGTCCTGCCACCCCTTTCCACACACAAACACGAATACCAACTACTTGACTAGTTCAGTAGAGTTTGTCTCAGGAATATTTCTGAATTTGTCTCAGAATCCCTTCTATTTTATCCTCTTGTATTTCATTTGCTCATTACCTCACATCTACATGGGTAGTAGAGTTTTCCACCTGCCTAGCATACCAATCTGTTCTTAATTTATTTCTGACTTAATCCACCCTCCTCCCTTTTAGGAAAACTGACATTTTCATTAAACAAATATATGCTCGTCACTCACCTATACTCTTGTCTCCTCCTAGCAA